TATAGGACTGCTGCAGGACCGGGCCCAAAAATGCTCAAAAACCTGCAAAAACAGGGGATTAACATTAGATATATAATATAACTACTAACATATGAAAAAGATATAAAAAGACTTAATTAGGACACTAATGGGCAAATAAAACAACGGAAAATGGTTAAGAAAATGATGTAATAAGGTTAATAAATTAACACTTATCACTTCGTCTCCCAAGGAATCCTCAGATTCCGAGAAGCTTAAGGTTTTTCTTCGAATAAGACGCTTGTAACGCAACAGAAAGTGGGAGGATCAGTGAAGAATGGAAGTGAGAAGAATGTTTGGCCTCAAAACCCTAATAGGAAAAAAGATGCTCTGAAAACGGCCAAGGCTGCCGCGAAGAAGAAGTGTGAGATTTGTTTGAAAGTTAACGACTCGCATTCTGTCACGCTTTGTCCTCCACAAAGCTTGGTAGATGTTAGACGGACAAAGTCTGAAGTTTATGAAGGTTTTTCTTATGTCTTTTGTGCTGAATCATCTCAGGTTATCGTCCTTCAATCTTGAATTTTATTTTTTGATTATTCACTACAAAAACTTTTTCCATGTTTCACATGTAGAAGATGTAGCAACATATACACTTTTGTTACCATGACATATCTTATAGGTGCTTATCTGAACGTATTTTTTTGCACAGTAAGTTACCGGTATCAGACAGTCTAGTAGATGCGTTCTTCCCCAAAATGCATTAAATTTGGACTTTAAAGCATCCATCTACCTTTGCTCGTTATGTGGTTGCTTGAATCTTTTCTTCAAGATGATCATTTTTTTATCCGTATTAATAAATGGTGTGAAATTGTAGACGACTTAGTGTTTTATTTGGAACTATGTGAAAGTACTTATAATTTGTTGTAAGATACAATTGTTGGTGTGTAAGATGCATTTGATAAAGTGTGATGACCCTGGGAACAGGGGATCTGCCTTCGGAAATGTTGTTTTATGAAGTGTAAATAAATGGTCTGCCTTAAGAACAATAAATAAATAAGTAAATAATAGAACAATCATGATAATAAGGTCAAATTTTTTATGAATTGTGGAAATGATCAAGTGTGCCTGTTGTTTTAATGTTGGTTTGCTTATCGCAGCGTGAAGTCTATGAGAGAATGGTTAATCCTCTAGTATATGATTTCTTAAAAGGCAAGAGCGGAATGCTTGCTGCTATGGGTCCAAGTGGATCTGGCAAGACTCATACCGTCTTCGGAAGTGCTAGAGAACCTGGTATGCTTTCTCTGGCTCTTCGTCAAATATTTTCAGTAAAGGAGAGCAATGGAGCTAAATATTCATGGTTATTGGTTAAATTCTAATCATATATAACATTCTTTCTTCGTATACTCTTTCATTGATGATATCCTGATTTTGTAAACTTTTTTCTCTTCATCTTCGTGATAAGTAGAATCAGTGGTTATTGCCTCGTTAATTAGTGGATGGTTGTCTTGTTTATTGGAAAACGACATGTCAAATACTAGCTAGCTTGACAACCGTTAGCAGCAGACAAGTTAAAAATCTCTATCCACTAAATATTTTCAGAAAATTTATTGTGCTATATTGTCGCAGGACATTCTATCTGTCTATGTTTGAAATATATTCAGAGCGAGGAAAAGGAGAAAAGATTATGGATTTATCACAAGATGGAGGTGATTTATACATGCAGCAATCAAATATCAAAGGTCTCCAAGAGGTTCGGTAACTTTTCATATTTATATTATCATCCCAATATTTTACCTCATGAGTTCTTTCATCTTTCTTTGAGTTATCTCTAATAGATCAGGGATTCTATGAGTGTCTCAATTTGTTCGATTTACACAGGCAGTCATCCATGATGCTCAGCAGGCTGAATCTTTCATTGCAAGTGGAATACAAAAGCGTTCTACGGCTATGACAAATTCCAATATTCAGTCGAGGTGCGTGCTAGAAGTTAACCTGTTTTGCTATTGTAGCCGACTAGCTGCAACTCGTTTTTAGCAAATTAAAGACAAGTTGACATGTGTCCTAGGAAATATTTTGGATGCTGATGCATATTTCGTATCCCATCTGAGGACTATAATATGACGAAGTGGCCTACCTTGAGTTAATTTATTGTCACGTCTAGAAGCTTGAGGAGTGGCATACGTATGGCAGATTTTTGTTTCTTGCACTTGATATATGTTTATACTGGTATGGCTTATGTGGGTTTGTTTTTGTTGCTTTGTGTCGTTTGAGCAAATAGATAACATTTTTCTTGCCATTTACTTCTTGAAGCAAGAGTATCACAAATTGGTTTATTTGAGTTCAGGAGTCATGAACTCGAGGTACATTATTATTGAATAGTTAAATGTTTGAACTGTATCGAGTAAATCTGCTCGTTTGCTTCATTGTGATCAGAATTGAAGTAATACTATATTTAGTGTTTGTAATAAGTGTGAGTTTCACTCGTATTTTTTATTTTCCAGCCGTTCACAATGCATAAGTTATAATAAGTTAATAAAAACTTTTATAGAAAAACATAAATAAACAATCTTAAACATCTCTTAAATTACATTTTTTTTGTTCCTATGATTTGTTAAAAATTACGGTTTTCATCCTTGTGGTTTAGAAATCATAGTTTTTGTCCCTGTGGTTTGAAATTTATTGCTATTTTTATCCTTGAACTAGTTCTTACCTTTATAAATACAAGAGACCAAAATAGTAACGAATTGTAAACCACAAAGACTGAAGCAACAATAAATTACAAATCATAAAGACAAAAATAGTAATGATTTAGAAACTATAAGGACGAAAACCATAATATATAAACCACAAGAACGAAAATCGCAACTTTTAACAAACAACATGGACGAAAAACGCAATTTACTCTTTTAGAAAATTTAAATATTTGGAAAAAGTTTTGCGTCAAGAGCTATGATAAACTCTGTTCCAGAAAAAGAAAAGAAGAAGAGAGAATGACGAAATCTCTAAATTTAGAAGAAAAAAAAATAGAAAATATAGCATACTTGTTGGAGATGCTCTAATAATTACGATTTAGAACATCTCCAACGACTATGCTATAAAATTTCTAAAATATAATACTAAAAGTAAAAGATCTCTAAAAAGCATTAACTTCAACAACTACTTATTATAACAATTCAAACATTTACTATATTATTACAATATTCAATACATGTAACAAAAATATATTCTTAATACCGTTTATTGGTGGGAAATAATTAAAATAATATTCCGCCCTCGTATATAGAGTTTTAGAGATTTTACTAAATTTAGAGATTTTATTTTTCATATTCTGTTTTTTTTTTCCTATTTTAACCCACAAAGTAGTATAATTGTTGTAGCTGTTTGGGTTTTGGACACCAGAAAGGCCCTAAAAGAACCTTATTCAATGACAATCAAATATGTGTTGTCAACCAACAACTAATGCGGAGAACAAAATAAGAATGAAAGCACAATGAATAATCAACCAAAGAACTTTGAAAACACACAAAAAACAAAGTTTTATGTGGTTCTACCACCGTTATGATGTTCATCCACACAGGGAAGAAATGGACTTTTATTGATGAACATACCAAAGGGCCTTTGGCCTAACGGTATGTGAGTCATTGGCCTTCTAGGAGGTCAAGGGTTCAAATCTCACCGAAGGTAAGGAGAGTGTGTGAATTTATTTGTTCTATTTGCCGTATATAAATATTATATACTTAAAAAAAAACACCCAACACTGAAGAGAAATTACAAACCGAAACACTAAATTGTGTATAATCTCTCTTAATATTTTCTCAACTTAAACTAGGGCTTCTAAGCTCTCAGATTCCTTCTCTATATCTGATGAAATTGAAGGTGATATTTATACTAATTCATAGGTGGAATCCCAATACTAAAAACTAGGAAAAATATAATTATCGTCGCACACGACTAGACTTAATTATAAGGTGCGATCTGTTTCACAAAATAACTATACATCTGTCGTGCTTCATCAAAAGGTGTGACTTATTAGTCCCTTTCAATGAGACAATTTATGAGATCTTGTAAGTTTCATGTTTTGTTTTTGAAATGCATATAGTGTGTTTCTATAAGGTCCCGTTTAGTTTGAAGGATGAAATTGGATTTAGAAGGATTTGAAATTGAATTTCAAGTTTAATTTGAAGGATTTTTCGATTTGAAATCTCAAGGGGTGCTTGGTATTTCATGAGATTTCATAGGATTTGTATATAATATTAATGTTTTAAAATATGTTTAAAACATTTGTTTTACAATAATCAATTAATAAAAAGATGGTTTAATTATTTTTATAATTATTTATAATTTGTTTGTATAAATTATTTATAAATAATAGAATTCAATTCTATTTCAAATCTTACAAACCAAACACACTAAATATTCCAAATCCAAATCCCTCCAATTCCAAATTTTTCCACAAAATTCAAATCCCTGAAAAACATTCTATCAAACCAAATGCCCCCTAAACGTTATGCATTGTGATATATGACATTAGTTGGGTGTTATTTCATGAACGTTGGCTATTTAGCTGCCGATAGTATGCATCTCATGAGTACATGTTACCTTAGTAGGAATTTACTTTTATTTATTTAAGCAATGTTCAAATGTTTAGACTTTATGGTTTGGAATCTGTTTTGTAACACAACCCAGTATGAGATGGGTTAGTGTTGTTAGATACATTTCATTTATTTTAGTTTTCTGTTACATACAGTTTTATTTTAACCGTTATTTTGAAATTAAAAAAAATGATGTGACATTATTCATGTAAGTTGAGGATGCTACAAGTTATTAGATTATCTTAGTCTCCAAACAACATTATGTTTGTTCAATATGTTGTAATAAAGTAAAAGTTTTGATTTATATTAGAGTGGTAGAACATGCATATTTCCATGGATAACCAACAATGATATCTAATACTGAATGTTGTTTCTCAGATGAAGATCATGTATGGGGGTTTACGGGTCATTTATTCAAACACTCATCGGGAAAACATTTACTGGTAAGAATAAACACTCACTTACTTTATCAGGTAAGGTTTTGATCCATCAAAATGGCATTATAGGAAACAATTTACCCAATAAACAATTACCGGGTAATACTCTCGGTTCTTGTCATCGCTTATCATGTTCACCTGATAAGGTAAGTGAGTGATAACTCTCAATTTTGAGAGTTATTTGTTGTTTAGTACGCTTATTTTTATGTGTTTTATGTACTCATTTTGCCTCTATCTCGTATTTTTGGTCTAAAATGTATTAAGAGGTGATGAAAGGTCAATGATTGATTTTATTCTGAAAAATCGTTACTGCTGGAAAATGCCCACTTTCTGCCCACTTCGATATTTTCTTCAAAACGGATTAGGATGAATTTAAATACCGTTTTTTCTGGGTATTTAAGAGAATTAATTATGCAGCCAAATATGAAAATCTCACAATATTTAAAGGGATGAGCCTTGTTGTATAAAAAAATATCTTAAAATGTTTTTTTTCCTTATTTTAAGGGAAAAATCATCCTTACTTTTTTCATCCTTTCAGAAAAGGTGACAACCCTTGAAGATTTTGCAAGGATATGAAATGAAGTCTTTGCCCTCAAGATTGAAGAAGGCTTTCTTCCTTTGGGTAAAAGGATGTCAATCTCTCTTTCTCTCTCTCCTATAAATTGGAGCATTTACTCTCATTTGAAAGACATAACTCTTGGAGCATTTAATCTCAACTAAAGATCTGGAGCAGTAGTTCAAGTGTTTCATATTTAATTTTCAACTACGTTTATGTCCACAATATGCGCACTAAGGGCAACAGTTTTAGTAAATTTCAATTCAAGTATTTCTTATGCATTTCTCTTATTCTTCTTCTTCTATGTTCTATAATTTTATTATGAGCTAATCACCCCTTTTAGGTGTGGGTGTGACTCAAACTTAACAACTTGAAAGCACACTTGGGTGTTGCCATTATTATTAATTCTTAAGCTTGATCACTTTAAGTCGGGACTTAAACTCAACGCAAATAAGCTGATCATTTTGAAGTGTTAATATTAAATCTTTGATCCAGAGATGGACGGATTCAAAATACAGCTTAAGTGATGCACAAAGATTTGAGAGAGTCTTTGATAATCATGTAGAGATACGGATTTAGCATGTTTTTAGCTAATGTTCAAATATTAGTCGAGATTTATACTACAAAGAGATTTGAGTATAAATCTTCAGGCTAGTGGAACTAAATATCTTTTTTATCACATAGCTAATTCGGCAAGCTTAAAATTGACAAAAGTTGGCACTTTGTGGGCACAATACATAAAAATTCACTTTCGAGAGATTGAAGTTTTTATAGAAGTCCCATGAGTTTCTGACCATACTGTTCCTACAATTTTCTTGAGGGAAACTTATACCCATACCCATCTCTTAAATTGAAAAGGTTTATTTCATATTCTAAGCTTTTTACCAACATAATTCACCTTTTATTCACAAAACCGAAACATGCTCAAGAAGTTCATGAAACTCTCTGATTCTCAGTAGTCCAATCCCTGTGGAAATGATCTTGGTACTATACCACTTTATTACTTGAAGAGACCATAGTGTCGGCGTGCACTTGCACCACCACTGTGGGGACTTTGTGTCCAATATGTGAGCACTTATGATTCCAAGCCGTCGGTGAGCCAGTTAACACTATTGGGTAACCATTTGGTAAAAGGTCCGTTAATGTTGTTTCTTTTAGACGTCATAGCTTGATCATAATTTTACCGTAATGATGTGGCATTACTGATCATGGTAATTTTTATATATTATTTTTCCTTTATTTTCTTAATTTGCCTTCTATATTGACAAAAACTCGAACATGTATATCGTTCAACGCATTGCATAACACAATAACTATTAAATTCAGTAGATTTTAGTTATCAATAAAATTTATAAAATTATGAGAGAGCAATATTTATATAATTAATTGTAGTGTAAATTTTCTTTGTGGTGTAAATTGATCAATAATTGAGTACCTAAAATCAATTAA